AGAGTTGGATCTGAAACAAGGGAGATGAGTTCTTTATTGTGATAGCCAGAGCGCTATACATCTTGCCAAGAATCCAGTATATCATGCCAGAACGAAGCACATCGACGTTAAATACCATTTTATACGCTCGCTGATCGAGAACGAAAAGTTGCACTTAATGAAGATTTTGGGGAGTCAAAATCCGGCGGACATGTTGACGAAGGCAGTCACCATTGAGAAACTGGAGTTGTGCGCAACTTCAGTTGGCCTTCACGAGTAGAAGACGAAGGCGGAGCCACACTACGAGGATCGGCGCGATCGTCGGGATGTTGATTGAAGAAAGAATTTTTCGGGGGAAAAGATACATGCGAAGAAGGGGAGAGTTCGGGTGAGCTCATTGATGGCGCTTTGGTCTCCAAGTGGGAGATTGTTAGTCTAAGTGTGTAGACCCAAAGCTGCAATCGAAAAGACGAAGAAAACAGTCAGAAGACTGTGCGGTCGACCGCAGTGGCAGAGCCGGTCGACCGCGTGCACTGCAGGAGACTGAGAAGAAGTTTTCGCTCTGGCCGGTCGACCGGCGTGGTCGCTGCGGTCGACCGATATCGTGCACAAGACCCTGTAGGATTTCGTCGTTCTGACCGGTCGACCGACCTTGGCAAAGCGGTCGACCGCGACGCAGATTCGATGTTTCCTATTTTATCTAGGAATCCTGTTCTGCTGGGGTTTGTTATAAATACCCAAACGTTTCTAGGGTTTATAGGACATCAAAAAAGAGAGCTTTTTGGCTGCTAAGAGAGAGAGAATCTCAGAGAGATTAACCCATTGTTTGAGAGCTTGTATTTTCTTCTTCAATTAATAAAAAGATTGTGTGGTGTGACTCCCGAGGACGTAGGCACGTTGCCGAACCTCGTTAAATCTGTGTGTTCATCTCCCTTACTGTTTTTGCAAGTTAGATCTTTATTTGTGGTTTTATTCCTACTTTCCTACTTTCAACACAAGGTCCGGAAGGGCAAGGGTTCGATTGATTGTTTCGAATCCCCAACACAAACAAGATTGCTTACTCAAATAACCCTCAAACTCTTAGTTTCTTTTTCTGGTTTAGCATTGCAAAAAAATATTAATTACAAGTATTTCTTTTAAAAAGTATACTACATTTGTGTTTTTAAAAAAGTATCCTAACATCGACGATGCTAATTCCACCATAAACTCATTTAAGTTTTATTCTTTAGCTCATCATCAACCCATCTAAGTTCTGTTGCTTAGCTATCACGTCAAATCCGAGGCACCCCTATCTTTGTTAAGTTAACAAGAGCAGCCATGCATCAATGAATCACAATTATGAGTAAGAAAAGCTTCATCGATCAATTGTCCTTAAAAAACAACCCTTTTACATCGATCATTCACATTCTTTCTGGGCTTCAATTGGTGAATTACATATTAGAAAAGGGTGTTGCTACAGGAACTCAAATAGGGGACTCAAGACATGGGACAAGTGAGGTGTCACCATCCGGTTACATGATGCACTATTCATGAATAGTACATCATATAACCGGATAGTGACACGTTACCTGTCCCATGCCTTGGGTCCCCTATTTGGGTCCTTAAGACATTAATAATTAGAAAAAGGGACAGCCCAGCGAGTAGTTCACCTATCTAACCTCGTGTAGGATTATATCACGCACACTTTTTGTCTGCCCAAACTAAGACGCGTAAGTTTTATGCTACGTACAAAAAGAATTAATAGTTTGTCCAAGGAAACATATGGTTGTTTTGCGGTGCACATCTAATAAAAGGACTATCCTATAAAAGCTGAGAAATCCTTGAAAACCCAACTAAAATATGGTTGACCAAATAAATAAATAAGCTATGTTTGGTGATAGGTTGTTGACTTCTTACTACGAAAATACAACGTTTACGTCCTATTTTCAAGAGAGAAAATTAAATTACTCATGGATTAATTTGCAGAGGCTGATTGTCTGTTAGAATATTGTATCTTAATTAATTACACGTATCTTCTACTTATCTCTGGACACAAGCCTACTTAAATAGCATTACATTGAAAACAAAGCCATGCATCATGAATATGCACATTTCACTTGACGTTCATCTCTTTTAACTAAATTAACCAAGTGTTAAAGTCAACAACATATATAGTCTCAATCAACTAACCAAGTGTCAAGACAGAAGAAAGCTAGAACAGCTAGCCAGCCAGCTGTTGAGTTGGTCAAATATCCTTCTCTTGCTTTGAACACAAGTGCAAAAGTTTGCATGCTAAACAAAGGCATCACCAACCTCAACGTCACTAACAAAACCCAAAATCGCTTTTTTAATTAGGTCATACTTTTACATCTCGCCATTCTCCTCTCACGGGAATTTATCCATGCACGTCTCAATATTTACATGATATATATAAGTTCACAACTTAGGGTTTCCTTGAAAATTGACTATCTTTGCTAACACTCAAAGCTTAGACTGAATAGTGATCGCAACATGAAAGCAACTAGCCCTTGTTTCTTCTAGTGTATATAGATATCACATTGTGGCTATTTGCTAATTGTATTATTGCAATATAGATTCAAATGACCAATGTAATGAGATCATGCCACACGAAGAGCATTGTAATGGCGAATGGGCAGTACCCAGGGCCTAAAATCACGTGAAAAACAACGTCACCTTGCATATGAGCTATAATGTCATCATTAGAGTTAATAATTAATCACGTGAAAAACAATGTCACATTGAATTTTATGAGCTATGAAGTTGCTAGCTCCTTATTTTGTTACATATAAAATACATTATTAAGATGTTACGTTCATAATGTTTTGATATATTGTTGAGTGAAGACATGAGGCAACTATTTAGTAGATGGGCCGATGGGCCACTACGCATAGCCCAGTGCCCGATCTAAATGGGCCAGAGCTAGCAACTCCATGGCGGCATGCTCTACCTCTTGGTTAAGGGCCACTCTCGATGGGCCCATTAGCATTCTCCTTAAGCTGGGAGTACCTAATCCTTTTGCTAACCCCTACAAAGAAGTCCCTATAATTTTTGGTAAAATTTTGTAGAAAAATATCGGTTTTTTTGTTTGTAATCTTTACAGATTAGAAGACTTATAATTTTGGTTTAATCAAATAGGTGAGTGGTTTAATGCGGATACGGAGGCTATCATCAATCAAGCTCTAGAGAATGGTGGGGGCCCAAATGTCTCCGATGCTTATGCTATTAATGGGCTTCCCGGCCCATTATTATGACCAACATAACTCTATATATGGCCTATCATATGGTCATTTTATGTATGTAATGTAAGAATTGATTATCTTGCAGAGACATTTAAGCTCAAGGTGAAGCCAGCCAAAACCTATCTCCTCCGAGACATCAACGCTGGCCTCGACGATGAGCTCTTCTTCACCATCACCGACCACAGTCTGACAATTGTAGATGTCGATGCAGTCTAAGTAAAACCATTCGATTCATTCACAATTATTATTGCACTGGGCCAAACGACGAACGTCCTCCTACGCACAAACCCCACTTACCCTAAGGCCCAATTCCTCATGATGGTTCATCCCTATGTCACCGGACAGGGCACCTTTGACAACTCCACCACCGCCGGAATCCCCCAGTAACAAAACCCCAGCACTGCCACATCAACATCATACGACAAAAACCTCCCTCTACTCAATAACACTAATTTTGTCACAAATTTCACTAACATATTGAGGAGTTTGGATAGTTTGCAATGTCCGGCCCAAGTAGCGCTAAATGTCCACAAGTTGCTCTTCAATGTGGGCCTAGGAAGAAGCCTATGTTCAAAGAGCCAAACGTGCCAAGGGCCCAATGGAATTAAACTTGCTAACAATATCTCATTTTCTTCGGCCAGTCTAAAGGGAGTTTACGGCCCATATTTCCCAATAAGCCCTCTACATTACTTTAATTACACAGGGATCCCACCTAACAATACTCTCGTTAATAGTGGGACTAAACTTATGGTTTTGAATTTTAATACTTAACAGTTGAGTTAGTGATGCAGGATACTGGCGTTCTGGGAGTTGAGAGCCACCCTTTGCATTTGCACGGGTTTAACTTCGTTGTGGTTGGGCAAGGATTTGGAAATTACGACTCCCACGGGGACCCACCTAAGTTTAATTTGGTGGACCCCATTAAGAGGAATACTATAGGAGTGCCATCTAGAGGTTGGACGGCTATAATGTTCCGAACTGACAATCCTGGTGAGCAAATTAATTACTTTAAGTGATTCATTATATTTCAAATCATATTTGATAATCCTGGTGAGGAAAGTACTTGCTTTAAGTGATTTTCATTATATTTATTTGAGTACAAATCATATTAGAATACCTCATACCCGAACGAAAATGCTCTGAACGAGGGTGATTTTAATCTCAATTCATCAAATACCCGAACGAATGATTTTAATCTCAATCCACCCCCCTCTAACACAATCCTTTGGCTCAGAACATTCCGTTCTCATGGAAAATATTCTGGTACCACTTACCCAGATGCAAGAAAATATTCTGGTACCACTTACCCAGATGCAAGAGCAAAGAACAATATATATCTTTCGTAATACACCTCTTTATGCAAAGTGTTCCGATATGATACATAGTTCGTAGAGTGGTCCGCTTAAAAGGGAAAACGTTATAATTTTTTTTCCATAATGTAGGTACGTTAACTATTTGGGATGATTATATAGGTGTGTTTGGTTCATGCATTGTCACCTTGAGAGATTCACACAAGCTGAGGATTGAAGATGGCTTGGCTGGTGTCGGATGGAAAGCTTCCTAATCAAAAGTCGTCTCCTCCGCCGTCTGATCTTCACAAATGCTAAGATTTTTCTTAGGGGTTTTGAAGAACGTTTGTCTTCGCCTTTGGTGTTGTTTGAGAGATCATTTTTTTTCAGCTGGAAGCGGTTGAGATTGAAGCGTGTAGAAGAGAGATGTTACTGGGTGTCTAAACAAAAATGGGAAAAAGATGACGAAAGTTCCAATTTAAAGGACTCGAAGTGAAAAACAAACCCCTGTAAGTATTTGGTAATATACTTCGATCAACCTACCAGAACAACACATATGACAGTACTACTGTTCAATAATATGCAATATAAAACTATATATACAGCCATTTTTCTTATCAAAGGTTTCCTTATATAAAATAATTATACCATAAAAGATGCGTCGGCTTGATCGTCGTCGTTGCCACGCCATCCGGAGCTTGCTCTGTGTTTACACACCGGGCATGTGCCTTGCTGGCGCAACCAGGGATCAATGCAACCAGTGTGGAACTGGCAAAATGATATGTAAACATCAGTAGGAAGTCAAAATCCAAGAGAGAGAAATACCGATCCTGATTTAGGGTGAGAAATAACTCAAAGCTTACTAGTTGATAGTGAGGGATAATTATTTGAGATAGCAAAGGAACCATCATCAAAGGAACCATTTAAAATGTGATCTGGCTAGGAGTAAGTACAGGACAAAAACAAACATGGATTGAGGTAGAAATACAGGATATTAAAGCTGTCATTTCGACGCAGATATGCTCAGTAAAGCTGAATGGAATGGAAAAGATAAATTCATATGATCCCCATAATATGACCTCGGTGTAATATCCGTTTGTTATAGTGCATAAAAGCTGCAAGGTTTATAATGGATGCACACTGATATAGAGTGTTGTTCAAATGATAAATAAGCCATTGCTCACTTTGAATCCTTTTCCTTTGTTTTGAAACTGACCCCCAAATACTCTTTTGAGATCAAGGCTCCAAGAGCAAATTTGGGATCAAGTCTCCATTTATTTAAATGGAATGCACAAACCGAGTGTAAATTTGCTGAAAATAATGCACAAAAGAGTGCATACAAAAGACTTCTAGGTGAAAATAATAGGATTGGTGACATCGGAAGTTCAAGCCTCAGAATAACCTTCACTCGTAAAGCTGAATGAAGGACAAGGATTGAAAGTATAAAAACCCAAAATTTAAGCCTGCATTCCATTTGATCAAAATAAGGAACAAGAGTAAAGAGGAAAAAGATCTGATAACTCTAGTCCACCAAGATAAATGTGTTATGTCCTTCTATGTGTTATCCACCAAGAGAAAATGTACCATGAAAGGTCTAAGGGAAGAAAAGAAGAATAAGAAAACTTTCAAGCTAAAATATGAAACTCTTTCATCGTATTTCTTACCTGATGCAGACATGGCAAACTCCTCACTAGTTCTCCAGCATTGACTTGCTCCAAACAGACACTGCATGTTAGCTCATCTTCTTGACTACCAGCACTTCCGCCCGCTCTGCCATCATCTTGCTTTATACGCTTCATAAAAGTACAAATAATTGACATTAATATTTTACAAAAGAAAAGAATGCTAATTCTTTTGCTAGATAAACTGTTGGCCTTCTTGTTTTGATGATGTTTAACAAACAATTTATTTCTAATGTTGTTTGTCTAGTGTTTGTACATTCTTATATATTGTAGACAAACAACGTTGTTGGGAGGATGGATGGATTGGCACCATAACGATCATATCAAAATGGAGGTTGTGGGAATATGTGTTGATAGCATGCAATCCAAGTTGAAAGATCCAAGTTGCAAGCTCAATCGCAGATTACGCTAGAAGAGCTTATTGAGATCAAGATTGCTTGGGTAATTTGTTTTAGGGTTTATATTATGTGTGTTATATATCTCTAAGCTCATATTATATTTACACACACATTTATTGGTTTCTTGCGTATATATATATAACATAGTCATATATATATATATATAGTTTTGGTTTCTATTGCATATATATAGTTGATATATATACATACTCATATGTTTTTGAGTTTTTATGGTTATATATATGAAATTGCTATATTTCATATTTTCTATTATGTGTTTGAACATTGGCATAGATATCAATTTTGGTGGAAAAGATTGTATTCTTTAGTTTTATAGATTCATATCAGTTTATCATGTTTTACTAAGTCTATAAAAAACATTTCAACAAAGTATTCAAAATGTTGTTTAAGTCAAAATATCAAAATAATCAATTTTCAGTTTTCATGTTTTGCGACTATTTGTAAAGGTGATTTTTTGCATTTGGGAATCCTTTTCGAAACCCAGTCGGTTGTGCATGTTTATTATCATGTCTACAATCATTTCCAAGTTTTACATTTTTTGGGATATTTGTTTGATATTTTTAAACAGCTTTTTAAAATCAGCAAATCAGGTTTTTCAGCTGTGTCAGATTTCGGTCGACCGACCCGGTCGACCGGATCAGCTTGTCATTCTCACTGGGCGACAGAGAGTCTTCTGTCGACCGGTCCGTCGACCGAGCTCATCGGTCGACCGCGGAGGGTAAGTGTTTGCTGATTCCTGTTTTTTTTTTTCCCCGCCCTGGATAACGTCGCCGAACTTTCCATCGTCGACCGACTTTCCATCGTCGACCGATCGAAATTTCCGGTCGACCGACAATATAGCCGTTGCTTTTAACGGCTCTTTCTCTGAGCTGTTTTCTGGGGTTTTGGTCATTCGTTTTGGGGGTTTTTTGGCTGAGCTTGAGTGGGTATATAATACCCCCATTGCTGATGTCTTTTCAGCATTGATTAAGAGAGTTTTAATCAAGTTTAATAAAGTTTTTAACAGGGTTTTTATTTGGTTTAAGTGTGTTTAATAAAAGCTTTTAGCAATGAAAGTTTGTTTTTTGGTGAAATCAAATTCGCACAAGAGCTTGAGGAGATTATCTATTGAAGTTTGAAGCTTCCAACATCATCCCTACCATACTCTTGTTATCAAATTGAGAAGTTTCTAAACTCAAACTCTAAGCTTTACATTTATATATTGATTGATATCATTGTTCTTAAGCTAGATTTAATATACTTTGAGTTTTAGTTGATTTGAATCTTGATTACTCATGTTACACACACACCCACATTGAGCTTATTGTAGCTCTTTCATACATAGTATATACGTTTGGGTGGTGAGAATGTAACTTTGATTTTGCTTTCATTGTGTTTCCATCTTTGTGAGAGACAAATTATTATTTGTTATCATTTGTGAAGGTTGTAACGGTTTTCGTGAGCTAGAAACCGGGAAGGTGTAGTGAGGTTTCGGTGAGCAGAAACGCGAGTGTGTAGTGAGGTGTTTTCGGTGAGCTTAGAAACCGATGTGTGAGGAGTGACGTTGATCGGTGAGCGTTGAAAACCGATACTGTGAGGTGTAAACCGTAATTCGGGAACGTAGAAAACCCGGTGATATGGAATTTCTCCCCAGGGAGTCGGGGGCGCAGACCGTAGGACGGAAGGTCGGCGACTCCGGTGATCATAATTGCTTGTTTGAGATGTGCTTTGCGTTCATTGTCACTATTTATTTCATATCTTATATCGCACATTGCATTAGCTCATGTATCTATTTCATCCCATCTATCTGTTAGATTGATTAGCCCCTTGTGTTAGTTTTATATCCTTAAGAACATATATCATATTGTATATTTTCTTGGGGTAGATATATTATCTTGTGTTAGTTTATTATATCCTTGCATTAATATATATATATATATATATATTATATATATATATATATATATATAATATAAGTATTATATATCATCATAATAGGATATCATCTCCATTGTTCATTGATTGTTTATCCCTAGCCACATATCTTGTGTATTTTATACTTGCTAGGATACGTATTAGATTAGTTTAATGGCATTTTAATGCCGATTAGATTAGCATAAGACCTAATCCAACCCCCTCTACGGTCTAAACAAATTGGTATCAGAGGCTTGGTGCTCTTTGATTTAAGGTCTATCGCCTTGAGTTAAAGATCTCAAGTTATCTTTTGTGCTAAGATCTTGTTTGATTGCATTTGCATCTTGGCTTGGCATATTTTTACAAATTAATGAATATTGAATGATGCATCTTGTTTAGGGCTATGAATTCTAGTGTTGGCGCTAGATTAGACAAATTTCCCTTATGCCCAATGGTGTGTTAGATTTAACTATTTGTTAGATTCTAAACATTTTGATTTATGGGAAATTATAGATGTGTTTTATGCTTATGATGATGTGCCCATTTTGGAGAAATCCAAGTGGAATAAAGAAATGATGCATCATATGTTTACTATGCCACAACATTTTGTTAGAAATATTTGTAAATGCTTTTAACTCATCATGTCTGATACAAGTTTGTTCATTTTGATAGTGCTTACACCCTTATGGATATTTTATAGAAGCACATCAAGGAGACTTTGGGGCGATCCCGGACAAGTTTTGGAGGATCCCGCTTCAAGTTGCATGTGGAGCATTCATTGCACACCGGCCACTAGGTCGATAGGGCCCTAGTGAGGTTTGCGAGTTCAAATTCTATTAAATCGTTTAAACGCTAATGTGAACTTGCTTGTGCTAGTGCGAAAATTATTTACATGGCCTTTAACAAATTGAAAAAATGATTTTCATTAACGTACAAAGCAAGCATGAAAATTTGAAAATCCGATTCATGAGTTGTTAGCATCCTAAGTTTGAAAGCTATTTCAAATGAAAAGTGATCCTTAAAGAAAACAATAAAAATTAAAAATTGGATCATGTTTCTTTACTTCAAACGTGCTAGTTTAACTCATGAAAGAGATAATGCCATGTTAGAAGTAAGAACATACAAAATAATACTGCTTGGCTTTCATAAATAACGTATTTATGTTATTTCTAAAAAATGCATATGTGCGCTAAAAATGAAGATTTGAATCTTATGAAAATAGTATTTCATCTTTCATTCAACTTTGAAAAATATGCATTAATAACCAATAAGAAGGCTTATGGTATGTGTGCGCAAGACGAAATCAAATCATCCACGTCATTATGCACACATGTATAGAAAATGTATAAGTGTTCTATATTGCGCGTAAAGGCATTTAGCTAAGTTTTCTATGGATGCAACAAAATCCTCCCAAGAGTTCAATATTTCTGTGCATCTCATGTAGCTTCTTCATCACATGTACACATGTCACATGCACCCATTTCATCAAGCATGCTCATGTATAGATGTGATCATTGTGGTCGTCTTGTCATTGTTGGCCAAATATTGTTTTGATTTGAAAATTAAGTCTCATTTGCGCAAAATGCTTTCTAGTAGACTGCACATGTTATTTAAATGTGATGTTTGTGGTAGGTTTGGACATCTTGCTCAATTTTGTTTTGATTTGCAAAAATTCCCAATTTGCAATTTTGCTGCCAAAAAGTACCACTTTTGTTTAATATTTTCTCATTTGGCAAAAATAATTTTAAAAGAAAACTTTATTTGCAAATGATTCCCATGACACAGACTAATGGTCCACAAAACAAATTGGGATTTAAATTTTTTTTTTAACAAAATGAAAGGAAAGAATGGAATGGGGGATCGTTCAATGCAGCAAATTTGCAATCGGAAAGGGTCATTTGAATGGAATATTGTTTTGACCATAAATTAGTGGCACTCATATGTGCCAGAGGGTTATCCGCTAGTTTTGAGCTTATAAAGATTAGGCGGTCTGTCCTAAATTTTTGGTACGAAAAATTCTTGGGTACAAAAACAAATTTGATTCTTAAACCAAGAAATTTTAATGTTTTATCTTCTGCTTTTCTGGTTTGAAAATTATGCTTTTAAAATCTTTTGGTTATGAAAACAATTTTTTCTTAAGTATAAAATCTTTTTGTTTCATGATTATTATTTTTGTTTGATGAGAGGACTATGTTTTATATAACCCTCCGGGTTTTTGGGTGTTATTCCCAAACATAGTTTAACGATGCTCAAATGATTTTATATGGGTTGGAACAAGCTCAGAGCTTGATATAATTGTTGCCTCTCTAAAAATTGTGTTTGATTGTTTTTTTGATTCATTATATTCCACTTATGATGATGATATTTATGGTGTTTGTGCTAATTGGATCATCTATTCGTGCTTTATAATGTGATTCTAATGAGTGGTTTATCAAGTTATGTAAAGAAAATTTTTCTTTAATTGAATGCAAACATTGTTTTGAAATATAAACTTTGATTTAATGAATTCTTTTTAGTTGATTTGTTTCATTTGAAAACTTTTGCATGATTCTCATGTATCGCTCTTCTTGTTGATTTCATAAATCTATCTCTTTTATATGGGTTCTTTATATTTTTTTTGTGTTAATGAGACACTAATTTTCATTTGACATTTTTATAGTGTGTTCTCATTATCTTCATGTATGTGAGTAAATTTTTAGCAATAGTTCATGGTATGCTTGCTCACAATGTTTTGGCCATGATCTTCATTTGCTATATGTCTATATGGCTTTTTGATAGGGGATGCAATGCCCCTATTATTTGTATGTTTGATACTCACGCACGTCGCTATTGACATCTCGTGGATGGGGGAGCTTTCGCTCTCTAATTCTTTTTATCTGCCTTTTTGATGTTGTCAAAGGGGGGGAGAAATATGTGAGTATAATTCTTCTTGTTTATAGCATGATATATTATATCATTATAAGGTTCATTTCGCTTCTTGCAATATATTCATGTTTTGTACATTGTTTGTCATCATCAAAAGGGGGAGATTGTTGGCTCTTCTTGTTTGATGATGTTTCACAAACAATTTTATTCTAATGTTATTTTTGTCCTAGTGTTTGTACATTCTATATATTGTAGACAACAATCAGTTGTTGGAGGATGGATGGATTGCACGCCATTAACGATGCATATCAAATGGGTTGGTGGAATAGTGGTGAAGCTATGGGCAAATTCAAGTTGAAGATCCAAGTTGCAAGCTTCATTCGCCCAAGATTTACCCCTAGAAAGAGCTTATTGAATGATCAAGATGCCTTTGGGTAAATTTAGTTAGGAGTTTTATATGTTATGTGTGTTATATACTCTAAAGCTCAAATATTATATTACCCACACATTTATTGGTTTCTTCGTAATATAATATATACATAGTCATATAGTATATATATATAAGGTTTTGGTTTGCTATGCATAAATATATAGTTAATATATACATACATATGTTTATGAGTTTTTATGGTTATAATATATGAAATTCTATATTTCAATATTTTTCTATTATGTGTTTGAAAACATTGCATAGGAATATGCAATGTTTGTGAAAATATTGTATTTCTTAGTTGATAGACTTCAATATAGTTTATACATGTTTTACTAAGTCTACAAAAAACAATTTCACAAAGTTTCAAAATGTTGTTTAGTCAAAATATCAATATCAAATTTTCAGGTTTTTCATGTTTGGACTTATTTTGTAAAATGGTGATATTTTTCATTTGGGAAGTCCTTTTTGAACCGGCAGTCGTTGGTAGCATGTTTATTATCATGTCTACAATCTTCCGCCGAAAGTTTATTTTTTGGAATTTGTTTGGATATTTTAAACCGCTTTTTAAATCAGCGAATTCAGGTTTTTCCAGGCTGTTCGTCAGATTTCGGTCGACCGACCGGTCGGACCGCAGTTGATCATGTTCTCACTGGGCGACAAGAAGTCTGTCGTCGACCGTCCGATCGCCGAAGCTCAATCGGTTCGACAGCACGGGTGCGACGGCGATAAGTGTTTTGCTTGATTTCCTGTTTTCGACCTGGATAAAAGCGTGACCGAACTTTGCCATCGGTCGACCGAATCTTTCCATCGGTCGCCGACGAAATTTTTCGGTCGACGACAATATAGCCGTTGCTTTTACGGGCTCTTTCTGAGCTCGTTTGCTGGGTGTTTTTGGGTCATTTCGTTTTTGGGGTTTTTTTGGCTGGAGTCTTTGAGTGGGTATATATACCATTGGCTGATGTCTTTTCACGATTGATTAAGAGAGTTTTTCAATCAAGTTTAATAAAGTTTTTAAGCAAGGGTTTTAGTTTGGTTTAAGTGTGTTGTAAAAAAGCTTTTAAGGCAAATTGAAGTTTTGTTTTGGTGAATCAATTTTCCAACGAAGAGGCTTGAGGAGATTAATCTATTGAAGTTTGAGCTTTCCAACTATCATCCCTCCATCTTCTTGTATCAAATTGAGAAGTTTTCTAAACTCAAACTCTAGCTTTAGCATTTATATACTTGATTGATTATCATTGTTCTTAAAGCTAATTAATTACTTGAGTTTAGTTGAATTTGAATCTTATTTACTCATTGTTACAAGACACACAGCCCCACATTGCGGCTTATTGTATCTTTCATACATAGTATTCGTTGGTGTGGGTGAGAGTATTGTAACTTTGATTTGTGCTTTCAGTTGGTTCTCATTCTATTGTAGAGAACAAATTTATATGTTTTACATTTGTGAGTGTTGTAAGGTTTTCGAGTGAGTTCTAAGAAACCGAGTGTGTAGTAGGTTTCGGTAGACTAGAATCGAGTGTTGTAGTGAGGTTTTCGGTGACTAGAAACCAGTGTCGAGGATGACGTTGATCGGTGAGCGTTGAAACCGATACTGAGGTGTAAACGTTATTCGTGAACGTAAAACCGGTTGATAGTGGATCTCCCCGGAGTGGGAGGCGGAGACGTAGGACGGAAAGGTCGTAACTCCCGTGACATAATTGTCTTGTTTGAGTGGTGCTTGGCGTTCATTCATATTTAATGTTCATATCTTTATCGCGGCATTGTCATTAGCTCAATATCTATTTCATTCCACTATCGTTGTTTAGAGTTAATTTACCACCTTGTGTTAGTTTATATATCCTTACATATATGATATTGTATATTTTCTTGGTAGGATTATATCTGTGTTAGTTTATATAGTCCTTGCATATAATATATATATATATATATATATATATATATATATATTCATCATATAGGATATATCTCATTGCGTTCATATTGTTTTATCCTAGGCTCACATATCTGTTGTGATTTATACTTGGCTATGGATAACGTATAATAGTTTTTAATGCATTTTAATCGGGATTAGTATTAGCTTTAATTGGCATTTTAATCGGATTAGATTAGCATAAGACCCTAATCACCCCCCCTCTAGGGTCTAACATAAACGTCTACAATATGTGAAGAGGTTTCTATGTTGACCAGTATTGTTAGTGTCATCCGGTACAAACTTTAACTATCTCATGCTTCAAGTATTCCAGTTTAAGCTTTGGATTGAAGCAAATAGAAGATTAGCGACTACATAGGATGAGCTAAACTAATGATGGTGAAGCATAATTGAGCTTGGTCAAACTAATTGAACTAAAAATAGAATCATGATAATGAGACTAATTATACTGGTCCATCATCAATCGTCATCAGCTTGGTGAAAGTAACATTCCGTATCACGTGGAGGCCAGATTTCCACATACTTGTGAGTAGAAACTCAAGGTTATATACCATATCACACGCCTCAAAATAAACAGATAAATGCAAAATAGGATTTAGAGAAAAATAATGTGAAGGCTACCTCGGCTGCCGCAGATGATGAAGATGATGATGCTTGTTGCTGAGATGATCCACCACTGTTAACATGAAACACATTCAGATGAAATCAATTTTTTTAAGATTAGTTCGTGAAGTCTAAGAAGATTCAAGAGTCAAGAAGAGGAAACAAGAGAGCAATACTTTCAATATACTACTAAATGAAGAAGAGATGAGGATTATAACTTGCCTTTGCTCGCCATGCGGTTGGCCTTTATATTTGTGTATAGGAAGGGCATTGATCTCCTCCTCACTCATCGAAGGAGCATCATGACTATTGTCGGCATCCAGTGCCCTCAATGCATCATAGTCTGCAACAGAAGTAACATTCCGTGATTAGAATACTACTCGGTGCGAGTCACATAGGGGGTGTTTGTTTCAGGCAAGATTTTAGCATTTAGTATGGATTATAAGTTTTGGGATCAAAAAGTGAGTTTTTTGTGTTCTGGGATTCCATATTTGATGTTTGTTTTAAGAAAAATTTTAGAATGTTTGAATCCCAAAAATACAAAAAGTACCCAATTTTTAGAATTTGTCAAATCCTCTCAATTGGAGAGGATTTGGCAAATCCCATAAATGGGTGTGCTTACCTCTCCTCTTATACATTTGTATTTTATTTTTTTGCGGGAGGTAACCACACCAAGATAAGCATATTCATCTTATTTTCTTTTTAAGAATTTGTTATCCTATAATTTGGGTTTGAACCAAACAAGATATTACAAATTTTAGTATTACATATCCCAATAAAATATTGATGAAACAAACAACATTTTAGAAATCCTAAACCATGTTAAAAAAAACCTATGGACTTCAAATCCCATGATGAAATCCATATCCTAAAATTATAAGATTTGAAACAAACACCCCCATAAGCTTATATTTATCGAATGCATACCTAAATCATCAAACTCTCTATCAAGAAGCGCAAGCTGAAGCCTAAGACTCTGCAATCTCCCTCTGGTTGAAAAGCCAATCGATGGAGGTACATGAAGTCTGAACTCGGTAATATGAGCTTGGGCTTGGGCTTGGAGTTGCTGACATGTAGCATACATCCTAAGGCCAGTGGCCAGCAAAAACACTCCGAGAACTAGCCAGAGCTACAACCAAACACACCCACAATTTCTCCTTTTTCCAAAACTCCTCAAAATCACACGCGCAAAGTGCTA